GCTCCTCTGTTCATCATCTGCACAGAGCCTGCTGTGGGGTTGTGCTGAACAGCTGGGAGTGAAGTGCTGTGGCCTGAGACCTCCCCACAGATGGGAACAGCGGTGCAGCACGAGTCTGGTAACCTGGAGCTGAGAGGATCTTTGCTTTCAGTGTACTTGAACTGTACCATTACTTTCCTAATATGCAGCCTGTAGTAAAAAGAACACTGTGCAAAGCAGGAATTTCAAAATGTTATTCTGTCTGCTGCTGTTAAGCAGAAGGAACTTTTCTAGACGAAAAAATATTTCCTCTTTGTAGTCAAAGAATGCTGATAAGGTTTGTTGCCAAGGGAACCATTTAATGTACATCCTTGAATTTGATAGTGTACCTGTGCAAACAATTATACAGAGTCAATGTCCCTTTATTTCTCAGGACAGAGGCCACCCAGAGACAGAAGTCTCTTTTAGAGGGAGAAGGCATCATGTCTTTCAGCACACGTGGTTGACTGATTAAATGAGGGCATCTCTTGCTACCTTCCTTTTTTTGTATTGGAGAGCATAATTAATGACATTGCTCTAAACTGCATTTTGATAGATATCCAGGAATGGAAACCAGAAGGGCATTTAATACAGGCTTACGTGGAAGTGGAATTTTACCTGCTGGCTCAGTTAGCATTGCTGCTGTGAAGAGCTGCAAACTAGAAATGAGCTTTGTGTTCTGTAAGGGAGGCTGGCAGGTTGTCATGGGCTGCTTTTGGGGGTAGGTACATTGTGGTGAGAGTAGAGGCCACTTGTGCTGTGAATATGAGGACTCATTCTTAAGAAAGGAATGTTGTTCCACAGAGGAGAAGGCTGGAGTGAAAAAAAGTCTTTCCTTTAGAAGGGCTTTGCTTCAGTCAAATGCTGCTCATTGAATTAGGGATCCATTTAAAATCATTATCAAAACATTCAGTTTGTAGCTTTCTGACTTAATGCCTTCCAAGCTTGTTCTGAAAACAGGGTTTTCTCTTCTGCCTTTCTATGGCACGTCCCCACAGAAGCACTTACAAAAAGAATATTTGATACCTTTTAAATAGTCTTGTTTCTCTGAGATTGTTTCCATTTGATACAAGAGAAAGGGGGTACAAATTGACATTTACTGGAATAAAAGCTGGCCTTGTGTATTTTTTTATGGTACCAAAGGTTTAAAATGCAGCATTCCTTGATTTCAGGCTTCATTTGAGCACTTTTACTTTTTAAAATTAAATATATTTTAAATCAGATATGAGCTTACCATCAAGTTGCAATTAGAAATTAAAACATTTTGTGTAGACTTAGATATATTAGCAAACAAATTACTCCACTGTGTTACTAGTATAGACAAGAATCTTACCTTTTGGTGTTTAGCTGCTGTCAGTTGAACATAAAGGTTCGTGCTGCTGACATGACCAAGTCATAATCACCTTTCTTCACTGGCTGTATTATTACTAGCAGAAAACTCAGCATTTGCAGCAGAAGTTTGGTTACCAGCCTGCAGTAAAACATGGTGCTCAGTGCTGAGTACAGGGCAGGGTCTGTGAATTGTAAATCATCCTGTGCTTTTACAGTTAATGACTTGTGGGATATGGACAGGTACTTTTGCATAACTTTAATGTCTGATTACAGGTCAATGTAAATAAGTTGATCTAAATAAAGTGACTCTGCATTCAGGAACAGAGTGGTTTGCAGTGGGGAGCAGAGCTCTAAAACCCTTTTTAGCTCATGTGGAACTTGACTCAGCTCAGCCAGACAGGTTGTCAGTGAGGGGAGTGGTGCTCTAACATGACGATGTGTTGAACATATGGAGACTGTTTCCAGGTCTTGGATCAGGTGGGGAAGGTCTGCAAGGAGTGGGTAAGGCAGGTGTTAGGAGATGGAAGGAACTCCACAGCTGTATCTCCCACGCTGGCGGATGGTTCTTGGTCTATGCAGAGCCAAATTCAGGCCTTGGCAAAAAATGCAGTACAACTGTTCACATTAACAGAATCAGAGGGCTGCTTCAAATGTCAGAAACCATGTTCTGCCAGACATTTTCTACAGCATCTGTGTAGGATGAAATGACCTTGACTCTTTTGTCATGAAGACCCGAGAAAATTAGCTCACCCTCCTCCATGGCCTGTGTCCTCTGGGAGCAAGTGCTGGGGAGAAAAGTTTGTGTTCTTTAGTAAGAATGGGTCTGTTTGTGCTTACTGAAGCAAGAAGGCCAGGTTGGGTCACAGCTCTGGTTTGTGTTCGTGTCAAATAGAGGAAGCAAATCTTAGTATTTCTAATAATCCTGTGGGAATTGCTCAAATGATTCATTTTTGGATTACTCCAGTTGTTCAGTGGGAGCTGAAGGATTGGGGCAGAAACTGAGTTTTAAAAATAAGCTGTAAAGGAGTCCAACCTTTGGTCTTTCATTTTTTCAGACTGTAGCACTTTAGGCAATACTTCACAATGAGGAAACGTTACACACTCAGACATCGCTTTTGCTGTCACTCGCCTTTTCTTCTCAGACTTTGACAATATTTTTAAGAATAATCTCAGTAAATACTGGTAAACAGCAATTTTAGAGCTGATGATGTATGACAATTGGGCAATAGCAAGCATTCTAATAAAGCCAATTTCTTTTGCTTTCTCGAGGTATCCATGGGGTCCCACCTTGCTGACGATCTCCGTGGTACCCTTGGCAAATAATTTCACACTCACATTCTTAGTGTGCCTGCAGTGATAGGGACAAACTAGTGCTGAAATGGAAGCTGATACCTTGGTTATCGGATGTTTTCCTTCTCATGGACTCACTTTGAAAGCTACACGAGGTCAAGGTAACTGTAGTGAGCTGTTCATAATCACTGGCTGCTAGAGATTTAGCGAAGACCAAGTACTTGGAAAGCCAGACGAGAGGTATCAGTTTCTTACTGATGTTGCATTGGACAGTAGAATGTTGGACCTACCTGGAAGGAAGTTAAGAGAATGTCGAGTAGAGCTCGTGGAGCTGGAAAAGCACGTGGCAACATGTTTTATTTCAGCCTACAGTTTGAAGGATGCAGAAATTGGGTGAAGGTTTAGGTAGATGAAGGGTTTAGTTTTGGTGCATACCCATGGCACTGTGCCTGTCCTTGGGAAGGAGCAAGGAATGAGCTTTTTCTGCTCAGCCTTACCTAAAAGTTGACTCTGCATTTGTGTGTGCTGAATGTAGTGAGAGATGGGAAAACCCCTGTTGCTGGTAGGCTCAGTTTTGAAAGAACTCTTATTAAATGAAAACAAATGAATGATTAATGAAAATTAGGATCATTTTCCCGAGAAGACTTTCACCCTGTACTTTCTTGAGGCTTCACATGACAGGGAATCAGTCACCCATTTGCACTTCAAAAAATGGCTTTGGCAAAACATTCCTGATGTAGATAAAAATAATGGCTTTTACAGCTGAAGCTGTAGGACCGTGTTCAAAGGAGAGGTACAGCAAGGCAAGAAATAAATGCAAAGACAGCATCTTCCTGACTTCTAATTTTAATAATTCAAATTGTTCTGTTACTCAATGGAAATTGAAGCTGGAAATGGATATGGTAGCTGCAGACAATGCCATTCAAAGTAAAAATGGGGCAAGTGAGTATCCCTGGGAACATAACGAATGCTGGCAGTGCTGTAGCAGCCTGTCAGGCGAGGTGGCTGGGACAGGCTGGATCGATGCAAGGAACAATTAGATGCCAGCCTCTGAGGAATAGGTAATTAAAAAAGAGATCTGGGAGGTGCAGCCATTCAAATGGCTTTGTTGGTCCTTCAGCCATGATTTAAGGCTTTTATGAAGGTGTTTTCTAGTTCTTTATTATCTAGTCAGCTGAAGCAAGATTAAAACCCAGGCATGCCGTCGATGCTGAACTTGCAAACCCTGCTTTCAGATGTCTATACTAAAGTTCACTGCCTCCCTGACCCCCTAAATGAAAGCTGCTCCCTTCATGGTTTCTGTACAGCTATCACCTGTTCCCATAGTCAGGTTCAGTTGTGCATACTTGTTCTCCTCTAGGCTAGTAATGCCTGCAAGTGAGGCTGTTTAGCCTGAGGGACAGGGACTGAGCAAGCTAGAAAGGGGGTTGCATTGATTTCTGACAAGAAGTTGTGACAATGCAACCAGCCAGCCAGGTTAAATATTAAATTTAATGAGCATTAGAGCAAATGGCAAATGGTAAGTTTGAGATCTGAAGTCATTAGCAAGTCATAAAATAAAATTTTCCTCGGGAACTGCAGCTTTATGGCATTTTGGACATCCACAGAGGGCCAGATGGTGAGTCCTGTGCTTATTCTCTTATTTTACGAGTTCAGTGCTGAAATCAAGAGGGCTGTTGACAAAGCCAAGGTATGACTGAGTGCCAGAGCTGTACTGGCTGGCAGTGCCACTTGGGACACATTTAGCTGCCCCTGTTCCTCAGAGGTGCTGCACTCAGCTGGGTCCCACACCCCAACAGAGATCCCATTGCAGTCTTGAGATGAAGGCAGTCAACTGAGGTACAGGAGGTCATGGTTTGATTTCTGCCAATGCTAGATCTTTCTGCATGCCCCTTCCAAAATGTACTGCACCAGCTTCCTTTTTAAAAATTGAGGCTGGGAAGGAAGGGTTTTAGAAGTTCTTTGATATCACGGTAAAGCTTCCATGTGTACCAGTAGCACATACAATCAAATGCTGATTTTTCAGGGTTGGGTGTTTATTTCTCTCTGGCCAAAACTGAAGATTTTTCTGGATGATTTTCAGCCATCACAGTCATTTCAGAATGAGCAGTGTTTGTACACTGAGCTGAAAGCTATGGGGACACAGATGAAGCAGGGAAAGAAAAGACCGAGCCCTATTCATCTTGGCTATCATATAATCATAGAATAAGCTGAGTTGGAAAGGACCTCTGAGATCATCAAGTCCAACCTTTGATCCACTACTGTCGTGGTTACTAGACCATGGCCCTAAGTGCCACATCCAGTCTCAATATTTAAAAAAACCAAACAACAACAACAAAAAACCCCCCAAAACCATTTAAACCTCTCTGGGAGCAGAGGAACGAGGAAAGCATGGTGTGAGACAAAAACCATCCAGCTGTTTAATAGTTGTATGGCATTTTAAATTCTCAGATTGAGCAGCTAAGGGTCTTTCCCAGCACCCACCAAGGCAGGCTGCAGAGTACTCCCGTGCAGCTCATAACCAGTCTTGGCTACTAATGCAGTGGTGCCAGGCTCCTTCCCTTCCTTGGCAGTATGGAACAATGCTGTGTGTTCACAGGGACCGGACTTGGCTCCGGCAGGAACCCGTCTGAGCAGGCCATGTTTTTTAAACACTTTCTGAATCTGTACTTCTGTCATAACAAGACCTTCATATAAGCTCTTCAAATGAGGATTATCATCCTTAATTTCTTCCTTTGGAACACTTTCTGTTGCTTTCTCCAGTATGTCTGCAACTTCTAGAAAGTCCTTACAGAGGCTCTGGGTCCCGTATAACTTTGCCTCTTCTACCAGTTTCTGGCTTCTTTGCCTCACGTTTTCCACATCTGCCAAGGCACACTTTTGTACTTGTCAGTGACTTCCTTCAGTTGTTCTTCCAGTTTAGTCTTTTCTTCAGCTAACAGTTTTTCAGCAGAGCTGGGTTTCAGCCTTCTGCTCATTTAGGCTCTGACTCTGGTCCTCCTCCAAGTTCTGGCCAGTATTTTCCTGCACAAAGCAGTGGTGGAGAAGTTCTGATGGTGGTGCTGAGCCGTGGGAGCCGTGGGCACAGCACACCCCACATGCACTGTGCCACTGCTGCCAGGGCACCCTCCTGCCTGCTGGGCCTGAGCCTTGGGTGTAGAAATACAATATGGGAGCTCTAAATCCAAGAGATGGTAAAAAATGCTAGAGCCAGCTGGCAGCTCAGGAAGATTCAGGTGGGAAGATTGCACTTGGCTGTGGGTGATGCCATTAATGTTTGCATGTTGGCCTTGCAATCTAAATTCAGAATACCGAGAAGCCCTTGCTAAACCACCTTAGCCACATGTCAAAATTTGTGAAAAGCAAAAAGTTAAGTCTGGATTCACACTTTTTTTTTTTAACTAGTAGCTGTGCGTAAAGGTCTCATGTATTTGGAGCTCATTTACTTTTAGATGTTTCTTATATCCCAAAATCTTCCTTCAGCACTTAACTTTTTGAAAAGAGTGATAGTTCTAGAGAATGTTATTTCTGTGAAAATATGTGAACAAGGAGATGTTTCCAGGAGTTATGGGCTGAAAATTAATACAGTGATGTCAGGTATTAAGACAGGAAGCAAACAGAATAAATACAACTGTAAACAGTAACTCTTTGGTACAGCATTTGCCTAACAGGGCTGCAAGGAGCTGCAGTGCTTCATGATTCTGTAGCTCTTCCTTGCAGCGTGACCTTGAGGCTGCACTGCAGCACTGTGTGAACAGAGCCCAGGAGTTTGGTTACAGCTCCCTCAGACTGAACAAGTTTTGGGCTCACTGTTACCTGTATTAGCATGCTAATTGAGGTTACAATTATCGAGACAACTGCAATATTCCTTCCTGCATTAGGAAGTTTTATAGCTTCCAGTTGCAGGCTGCAGCAATATAATTTTCCCTGAGTATTTCATAAAAGGGACACGAATGCTCTTGGTGATAAAGTAATGTAACAATGCACGTAAGGCAAGCCCTGAGGTAGCTCTATATTGTTTGGGAACAAATATAAGAACCACTTTGGAAAATGATGCATTCTCTGGAACTCATTTTTCATTTTTCTCCATCTGCTGTATTCCCTTCATATTTTCCAAGCCCTCATTTTTTGCCATCCAGAAATAAAGTAGTTTAGACCTATGTTTGTACTCCTAACTTTGAATTTTGAAATGGTGCTATAATGAAGAGGTTAGCAAAATTGATAGAAAGTGTTTCATGGTGAGACCTACAGGCACAGGAAAGAGAATTGATAGTGTAGTGAAAACCTGTAACAATACAGATTTTCAGGAATGGGAAAGAAAAGGTACAGTCAAACTGTGCAGTAGTGTGGCTAATACACTGGAATCTTACCTGCTAAACGAGTAAATCAGGATTTAATACCTTAATTTTGAGTATTCCAAATGTGTTATTGTCAATTTATACATGTAAATGCACCAATAGTGCTGGAAAGCTTTGTGCACAAAATATCTTGGGATTTTGGGAATGTATATAGATACATGTGTATATATGGCATGTATGATTCAGCGTGGTCAGGTTCCCCTCAGTAGAAAGATCACATCAGAATGGGAAGAGGATAGTATTTAGCTCCCTTGAAGATGTTCTGGATTGTGGAATACTTCAGGAATCCCAGTCTTTTACCAGTGGTTGTTTTCACTGCATTTCCATAAGGGGCTCACTCCATCCATGCCCTCCTCCCAACCAGCCCAAACAGAAGAGTCTCTGCAAACCCTGTGGAAACTTCCACAAGCTTCTACCCTTCCCTCTGGATCACACTGAGAGAACTGAATACACTCAAGGGCTCCTGTATGCCTCCTGGATAAAAACCTTCCTGGTAAAAGCTGGGAAGGACTGTCAGGCTCCATCTCAGCTCTCACTGTTAATTATTGAGCCAAGACAAATCGCTGGATTTGTCTTCCCAGCCGTCCTGACAGGACACCTTTTCCACATGTTATGCTACGTGGTATTTCTTGCAGGGTTCCTGCAGTATTCTCTAGGACTGGATTTCTAAATGCTCTTTTGCAGGAGTACTGCAGTGGAAGAAGTGACCTAATGGGATAGATCCCTTTGCAATGTCCATTAACATCTTTTTTTTTTGAAGTTTCTTCATTTCAAGCTTAATGTTTGGAGCATAGGTAATTAAGCAGCAGCACTCCAAATGTGGTACTGGCAGATGTCAGTGACTAACTCTGTCGACGTGATTTGATGGAGGTAGTGGATGGCATTTCCAAGCCTCCCTGCTTTTGGCACAGGTTTGTAAGGAGGAGCTTGGGCAAGCCAGAGAGTAATACTTGGAGGATTATGAGGGGTTAACCTGGACATGGATACTTTTGACTCCTGGGGAATCTGACTGCATCTCCTCGTTTGGACCAGGTTATAGCAGTACAGAGCAGCCAATGTAATTAACTGGTCAAGTTTTTCCTGCTGTTTTACAAAGAGTCAGGGTACCAGTGAATCTACTCATCTCTTGGGAAATTCATAGTGAAAAAATCTGGAGAGAAAGTTGGTTGTTTCAGCAGAAATGGATTTGCAGCTGCTGAGGAGAATCTGATTATGTGCTGCTTTCAAAGAAATGCAATACGTCATTCGCTCCTGGACAGAATGTCTTTTCTGTGACTAAGATTTTCAGACAGCCTGGGATATCTGGGGAATAGAACTGGACTTTTTCTTTATACACTAATGGGTTCTTAAGTTCAAAGCATGTTAGAAGCATGTAGGCATTGGGAAATGTTACAGTTTTCTAATAATTCAGTAAAATATTAAAAATCTCAAGATGGGCTTCTGGCTGGAAAGATGATGTCTGTGCTGACTTGAGATGGTGTTGTTCATCTGCTGAAGTATTGGCTTTATTATCAGCTTGTAATGCAAGAATTAGAATGCTAGTTGCACAGGAGAAATCAACTATAGTTGTCTCATGTCTCGGAGGATGAATTTTCATCTTCAGCTTTGCACACACAAAACTCTTGTTCTACTAATAATTGGAGCATTATGGAAAGAGAGTTGTGTTCACTCATAGAAACGAAGCAAAGCAGTAATGTGGTAGTTTTGGCTGTAATATCAGGTATTTATTGAAAATATTGGTGGCTGGTATCTGTGGGAAGAGTATTGTATTGTCGAAATGCTGGTGGAAAACAGCAAGAGGCATTTTGGCAGAGAAGCTGCACCACGTCCCAGCATGTTGTCCCTGCTGAAGTTTTCAGCCTTTCTCCAGAACTGGCCTCCCAGGAAGCCCAGACTGGCAGTTGAACAGTGATCCTGAGGCAGTTCCTGGGTTGTGCAGAGCTTTCCCACTTAACAAGGTGGTGCCTGGGAAGTTTTACCATCTTCCTGATATCCACAACAGTGGCACCACCAGATCAGTGGCCTGGGTTTGTCCCAGCGTAGACTCTCCTGAGCAAAGCCCCTCCCAGCAGCTGGGGCTCAGGGAGGCGGCGCTGCTTTTCAGGGAGGTCACGCAAAGTGCTCTGCACTGGGAAGCACGTAAGAGCCAGGACTGCCTGAGCTGGAGCCAAGGAAGTGGAGTTCATGGAACAAAAATGCAATTCCCCAGACTGAAATAGCACCAAGTCCTGCAGGATTCTTTGCTGCCATCTGGTTGCTGAGAACACAGAGCAGAGCCTGAATTACACCCCACCCTGGGGAGGAGGCAGCACGGGTGAGCAACTGCATTACATGTGCTGTGAGTGCTTTAACTGTGTCATTCCCTGCTTGCAACTTGAGGAACCCTTAAGTGCATAAGCTTATTGTAGGCATGACTCAAGTGGAAATCACTTCTGGAAGAGCTCTCTCTTCTTCTTGTTATAGCAGTAGAAGCATCACAGGCAAATCCTGAGGAAAATGGAGGAAATGCACCATTAATTTTATCACCAAGGGGAGCTGAGTTTAACTACAGCTTGTCACTGTTTTCAGGACAATACTACATTTATTCTTGCCTAGGGAAGCAGCTGTATAGGTCAGATCTGTCCAAAAGATGCTGTATGTGGTTCAGCCAACATGCACCTTACATCAGCTTTTGCTGAACATTTGGCATAATGAATGAAAAAAACACATTTTTTTTCTATCCAATCCTAATTTCTAATTTGCTTTAAGGGAATGAACCACCTTAATGCTGAAAGTTCCCCATACTCATGCCATTATTCCCTTCTGTGTCTGAACAGATGAGGTTTTTTTTTCTTCTTGTACTCAGAAATGATAACTGAATTTACTGTGATTTTTAATACAACTTGGAGAAAGCGTTTTGGATGACTTTATCCTAGGACATAGGACTTTGATTTGGAGGAGTCATTGTTACTGGAAGCAAGAGTTTACCCACACCTCAGTGAATTGCTTCTATTCAGTGTTGTCCTTAAACCCAAAATGCATGGGACATTCATATGGGATTGCTCTGCATAGGGAGCACTTATTTTTGTGCCAGATGAATTTAAATTTAAATAGTCTGTAGTTTGAAGGATTCCATCAAGTTTCCCTCCCACTTAAATAATTTTTTTATTCAGATGCCTCATTAGATCTCTTTAAAATTGTTGGTTTCCAGTTTGGTGCAATTCTCATTTGCATGAGACTGACCAAATAGACCCTTGAGTGATTTTCTTTATTGCAAAACATAATTGGACACTGTTCACAGAGTATCCTCTGAAACCTCTTTGTGGATGGTGAATCAATGATTTTAACTTGCTTTGCCTGCATAAATCCAGGTAACAACATCTTGTATAGTTCAAGTGTTCTAACTGTTCCCTGGCAGGCAGATTTTAAGCTCGGCTGTGTTCCTTCCCCAGTCCTTCTTCATCTTTTACACAGGTCTGGGAAACCTTCCTGTCCACATCTCCAGTGTGAGCCTCTGCTCAGGGCTGGGCAGCAATGAGAGGGTGCAGTGAAAGCCCCAGTGTAGGTTACGATGCCAGTGAAGGTCTGGCTGAGAAGTGCCCCCACTTGTGTCTCGGCTCACACACACGGCCTGGCTGTGTGAAGCTGTGTGTGAAGCTGCTTGATTTCTCTGAGCTGTGATTTAGCCAGGTTTGCACCATGTCTGATGGGAATCTTAGTAGTGCACAGGAACAATTATGGTTCACTCGGCAGGCCTTGGGAATCTGTTTCGAGTTTCAAACCATTTCATGGCCACATTGAGAGGATGAGAG